AAACTTACTTCCCTAAAGTTCTGGAGGCTGAAAGTCCAAGATCAGGGTATCTGCAGGGCTGGTGTCTCCTGAGGCCTCTCTCCTAGGTTTGCTGATGGCTGCCTTCTTGTCATGTCCTATGTGGTCTTTCCTCAGTGTGCACACATCCCTGGCATCTCTCTATGTGTCCAAATTTCCTCTTCTTATAAAGACACCAGTCAGGTTGGATTAGGGACCACCCTAAAGGACTCATTTTAACTTAATCACCTCTTTATAGGCCCTATCTCCAAACAGAGTCACATTCGGAGGTATTGGGGCTTCAATGTACAAGTTTTGTAGGGACACAACTCAGCCTGTAACAAGCGAGTAGACATTTGTGATAGCCATTGAGGTCATTGTCAGCTGAAGGACTGAAGGAACGATCTGGGTTCTCAGAACAGTGGAATAGTGGGTCTCTGCCAGCAGTGGTCAGGGTGAGAAACACATGAATGGAACACAGGGCCAGACCACTAACTGGGTCCAGCCTCCTTATTACCTGGAATGTGAAATACCAGCCTTCTCATTAGATAGGCTGTTTTTTCTAAATGGGAATAAATTGGACCATAAGGAATACAGAAGGATTATGAAAGCATGTCTAATGCTTTATTAAAAATTTAATGCAAGGGGCACCTGGGTGGTTCAGTTGGTTAAGCATCCAACTCTTGATTTTGGCTCAGGTCATGATCTCAGGGTCTTGAGATCGAGCTCCACAATGGGCTCCATGCTCATTGTGGAGTCTAATTGAGATTCTCTTTCTTTCTCCCTTTACCCCTCCCCTTGCTCATGAGCTTTCTCTCTCTCTCTCTCTCTCTTTCTCAAATAAATAAATCTTTAAAAACATTAATGCTAAATAACCCCTGATTTGTAAAGTTTGATAATCATCAAACACAGATTATGTTTAAAAGGTTTAAAATGTCTTTTTGACATGGCAAGGACATAATAAAACTTTTGATGATGGCAGAATAATAAACACAAAAGAAGAATTTGGAAACCACTGCCCAGAGTAGTGCTTTTCAAACTTTTCAAAAAATATGAATCTGATGTCAAAGGAGAGTGAACCCCTGGCTGGGAGAGGAGAGAGAAATGGATGGTTGTGTTTTATCAAAAAAAAAAGTACTGGAAACTTACATTCTGTTCTAGGATATATTTCTTTTTTTTTTCTCCTTTCAAGATTTCATTTAAATTCAAGTTAGTTCACATATAGTGTAGTGTTAGTTTCAGGGGTAGAGTTTAGTGATTCATCACTTTTATATAAGACCCAGTGCTCATCACAACAAATGTCCTCCTTAATGCACATCACACATTTAGCCCATCTCCCACCCTTTGATTTTATTTTATTTTATTTTTTATTTTTTATAAGATTTTTTTTATTTATTTGAGAGAGATTGAGAGAGCACAAGCAGGGGGAGCAGCAGAGGGAGAGGGAGAGGCAGACTCCCCACAGAGCAAGGAGAGCCCGACATGGGGCTTGATCCCAGGACCCTGAGATCATGACCTGAGCTGAAGGCAGCCGCCCAACCAACCGAGCCACCCAGGTGCCCCACCCACCCTTTGATTTTAAAAGTAGGTTTCGTTTGTCCCCCAAGTCCTCAAGATAATTCACATTCCAGTAAGGTACATGATGCATAGTGGGTAGCTTTTTCTGACCCCTGGCATTACAGTTCCACATTTGGATTATTTGTGCCCCAGTTTGAGAATCCAGGCCTCCAAGTCTTGACTGCTCTCTCATACAACAGAGTTGCCCTCTGGACAAAAATGTTGACATACATCCTCATTAAGCCTCAACCACAGGACTTGCTGCAGGCATACTAGCAGGAAATGAAGGTCTAGCATCTAGTGCAGATTAAACCAGAATCTCTCCTTTTCCATCACAAGCAGCAAATCTTGGCCAGTCCAGGAACTCCCACCATTTCTTTGGTGGTTAATGCATCAGTTAGCTATTGCTATACTTATGCCACATTAAAAAAACACACAGAAGACTTCAGTGGCATAAAATTATAAACATTTATTTTCACTCACGACTCTATGAGTTGGCTGAGTAGTTCTGCTGATCTTGGCTGGGCTTCGCTCAGCAGTTCTTGCGTTGGCTAGGGGGTCACTTCCATAACTGACAGTCAACTGATTGTTCATTAGTATAGGATGGTCTTGGCTGAGATGACTGGCTTTGCTCCATATGGTCTCTCATCCTCCAGGAGGCTAGCCCAGGCTCCCTTTCATGGTGCAGGCATGAGAGAGTAGAGGTGTGCCAGACCTCATGAGGCCCGGCCTGGGTCAGAGGTGAGGCCCCATTCTACTGCCCAAAGTACATAAAAGGACAGCTCAGATTCAAGAGACAGGAAAATAGATCATACTTTTGATGAGAAAAGTGGTAAAATCACATTGCAAAGGGCAGAGATTCAAGGAAGGTTGGAGAACTGAGGCATTTTCTCAATCACTTTACCACAAGAGGCGTTCTAAGTCACCTTTCTGTAAGCAGAGCTCTGGATTCCTATTATCCTTTTCCATATTGCTTCCATGGAGAGCTCAGGGAATGTTATGAGAACCGGGATCCAATGTTATTGGAACTCAGATGCTCAGATGGAATCCTGGCTGTGACAGATTTTAAGCCCTCCTTGGACATCAGTTTTGGCCACTTACACATACCCTTTGTTGGGAGAAGAAGGGGAAATGTGGATTTTCCCTAATAATAATTTTCTTGAAGTCCAGCGGTTGACTGGTAATAGGATTGTTCTATTAGATTAGGCCAAGTCCTTGATCAAAGTGAGGTATATTAATGGGGACTTTAATTAGACCTGTGAAAATCTGGCATCCGCTTGAGCAAAGATTTCAACCATGTAGAGAAAGAAAGTCTGTCAAAAATGTGGAGGAGAAAAATTATGTAAGTCAGTAATGCTTAGAAGTGTATAGAGGAAAAATAAATTATATTTTTGAAGCTAGTTCAAGAAACTTCAGTAATTATGAGCCAGATGTATAGTGCATAAAACATAGCTTTTCCATGGAAGCACATCTTGTAGTTAAAAGAGAATATACAAAAGAAGCTTAGCTCTTCATTTTTAAAGTGTAGCATTATCCTGCTCAGATACTCACTTCTCTTTTATCCATGACTCAGGATGAGTATTAGGGGAAGGGGAAGGAGAAGGCTCATATAGTTTCAGGAAGGGCCATGCAAAATGAATTTTTGAATGCAGAATGAAGGGATCTAGAGAACTACATTGATTGGGTCCTCTGACAGGCACATTATCTCATTTAATCTCCACCGTAACATTGTTGGATTGGCATTAATAGCCCCTGACTTTATAGGTGAGGAGGCTGAGGCTCAGAGAGATCAAGCAACTTGCCCAAATTCACACAACTAGTGAGCGTGAAAGCCAAAATGGAGCCGTAATCTGGTTTCCATGTTTTTCTGGCTGTGATTGTTTCACTACAAGAGATCACTGCCAACTTGGGTAACCTCATCTTTGTATTTGAAAATAAAAAAGTACTGACCTGGTTTTTATTCTTCAGGGTTTGTTTTTCCTTTTTTTCCCCGCAAAGGCAGAGAAAGAAAGCCTACATAATGTCATATGAATGCCTCACTCTTCATTCATCGTCTTCCTTGGAATGACCTTTGTCAGACTGAAGACCGAGAGACTAGTCCTCAGGGGGTAAAAACCAGCCAAAAGGTAAACAGAAACAATACAGTGACCCCAAAGTTGACAAATTTGAGGAAGAACTCTGCTCCAAGCTTGAGAGAGGGGAGACAGCCACCCATACTAGATGCATGACCAGCACTCTGCTGCTGTGGGCACCCATGCCAGCATCCATGGTGAGGTAATTCTGGAGAACAGCAGGACTCATTCATTCCACACGCCTTCTCAGACAGTTAGGGCAAACAACTTTCAGATGCATTTCCTGTTAGCTTAAAAAAATTTTTTTCCATAGTTGTACTAGTCAAATAGTATTTGAAAATTCCCTTTTTGTGTTTCCTTTAAAAGTACTTTCTTTTGCAAGAGGTTTGCCGGATATGATATCATCGTAATTATTCCTTGACCAATTTTATCACCAACTATTTCAAATATAGACAGTTTATCCAGCTTTACAAGCTGGTTAGTGTCACTCTGGGAATGTCCAAAGTAGTGATGATGGAAACATTTCAAGTCCACGGCCAGAACCTTCAGTGGGAGTAATGTGTGACCTCTCTGCCTGATGAACATTTACTATGTAGCTTAGAGACAGAACTAATTGGTTGTATGTGGAGTCATGAGAAACACTTATAAAGTGGCTTTAAAAATCTGCAGTTGAAAACATGAAAGAAAATAACTACTTGACAGCTAGTCCTTACACTGAGTTCTTCAGAGCAAACTGTTCAACATTGTCGCAAATGATGACACCTCCAAAATTATCCCTTGAGTCCCTAAATAGAGTTCAGAGTTCAGGGCTTCCCATTTCCCTGTCTTGGGCTTTTCTCAATGATTCTCAACCAGAGGAAGCAACCCTTCTGGGCTCCCCAGAGGTAGGTGTAGACAGAAAAAGCTGAATCCAGCTTTACAGAGATCTGCCCTTCTGTAGGATTCTTACCTCAAAGACGAGAGAAAAGAAGAGAGAAATGTTGGGGCGCTTGGGTGGCTCAGTCGTTAAGCGTCTGCCTTCGGCTCAGGTCGTGGTCCCAGGGTCCTGGGATCGAGCCCCACATCAGGCTCCCTGCTCGGCGGGAAGCCTGCTTCTCCCTCTCCCCCTGCTTGTGTTCCATCTCTTTCTCTCCCTCCCTGTCAAATAAAGTCTTTAAAAAAAAAAAAAAGAAGAGAGAAATGTTGGCATGTTGGTAATAAATCACTTGAGACAATGCTAAGTCATTCTGAGAAAGAGATAAGGAAATAGACATTTAGTATTGAAGTTTCAAGGTAGAGATAGTGCCAGAGCTTAGTTGGAAAATGACATTTGCTGTAGATAAAGTTTATTGAGAGAGAGCATTTCCTACCATGAGAATTTTCTCAGTCTCATGAAATTTGGCGGCTTCCTTCTAAAAACGTGGGGTAGAGGCCAGCACCACTGGCCAAAGTGGTTAGTTATTGGTGAGTGTATCGAGGTGTGAGGGTCTCACCTTTGTTCAAAGCAAATTCAGGCTGGCCCGGCTCACTCATGGGACTCGAGAGCCCTCAGAGGTCCACGGAGGTGCCACTCGTAAGCTTAACAGCAGAAGGATGAGCAGGGCACACCACATTATGTGGCGATAGTTAGGGAATGGCGTGCTGGAGCCTTTGGGATCCCTCAGCCCAGAAAACCTGGGAATCAGCCCATTCCTGACCTAATCTAGACAACATGAGAGAAAACATGAGGCAAGATTACAAAGGGCATTGGCATTAAACTGACACTGGGGAAACAAGATGTGAGACCTTGGCTTTCTTGACGATAAAATTGGGGCTAGCCTCTGACCACCGAGTGAATGTGACTGTTTGAAACAGAAGACTTCCCTTTGAGATGTGAAGTTGATTTGGCTCCAACACCCATTTCTTCCCTGATTGTCGGGGTTGATGGGGTTGTAAGGTTGCTTAGGGGCTCACCTGGCTGGCTATGAGGAGGCTCTTTCCTTCTCAAGCCAGCATCCTCTCTTCTGTAACCCTTTGTGACCTACAGATACAACTTCTCTTCTAAACCTTCCAGCTTATGAGACTCCTCCTCCCCTCCTTCCCACTCTCACTTCTACAGAAAAGGCATCAAGATTAACCAGGGCCTCAGAGCCACATTTCAACTCTAAATGACTGTGGTTTGTTTTTACAATAAGGAGGAGGAGTGAGTGGGCACGTACTCCTTTGGAATTTGAAAGAAATTTCCTTGCCTAGAGGGCTGATGACTTGGGCTTCAGTTCTCCCTTCCTTTCTAAATGTGCTTCTTAAGGAATAACCCAGAAAAACCATCCCTAGTCATCAGCAGTCAAACATGTGAAAATTGTGAGCTCATCTGAATCACCTTTCTAGTAAGGGCAGAACCAAGCAGAAGTCCATTTGGGGCACCTATTGAAGAATAGTAACTCTTGCCTTCAAGTGATGTTGAAGAGCTCATTTTCATTAGCATCGGAACAGAAGAGTACAGATTTTCCTTGACTTGCAATGGGTTTACACCCTGATAAACCCATAGGGAGTTGAAAATGCCACTGAGTCAAAAATGCATTTGATACACCTAACCTACATCATAGCTCAGTGTAGCCTACCTTAAAAATTCTCAGAATACTTACATTGGGCTACAGTTGAGCTAAATAATCTGACACAAAGACCATTTTATGATAAAACATTGAATATCTCATGTAATTTACTGAATACTGAAAGTGAAGAGCAGGGTGGTTGTATGGGGACAGAATGGTGGTAAGTGTATCAGTTGTTTACCTTTGTCATCATGAGGCTGATGAGGAGCTGCGGCCACTGTCACTTCCCAGCTTCACAAGAGTATCACATGGTGTATCACTAGCCTGCAAAAAGATCAAAATCCAAATTTTGAAATATGGTTTCTACCAAATGCATATTGCTTCTCCACCATCATAAAGTTGACAAATCATAAGTCGAACAATCATGAGTCAGGGACCATCTGTATTAATAATCAAGATGAACACTATAAGAAACAAAAGGAAAACATAACATACAGGGATGGGGGAAAAAGGTAGAAGAAAAGTAAAAAATTAATAAGGCTCTGAAAGCCTGATGTTACAGCTCAGTTTTAAAAAAATTTCATATTTTTATATGAAATTCCATTCACCAAAGACTTTCTGGGGGGTTTATTGTGTCCTAGGCAATCTGCTAAGTTCAGGAAATAGATGAGTAAGACCAAATCTCTCTCCCAGAAAAACTATGTTAAGCACACAGTAAACATTCAATAAATGTCAGTTCTCTTTTTCTGCTAGTGAGAGAAATTCTGAACTAATGAATATTTATTGTGGATGGCTGAGGGTTTCTAAAAATAGTACACTCTGGAAGAGAAGGCTAGCTCTCCCCCAAATACATCCTCATCTCCTACGACCAGGCACACTAATAGACTACATTTCCCAGCCCGCTTTGCAAATAAGTGTGACCATGTGATCAAGTTCTAGCCAATGGCATGTGATCAGAAGTAATGAGTTGTTTCTGGGCTGAGGATTTTTAATAAATGGCTGTACCTTCTCTGACCAGTTTCTTGATTACCTCATCATGTATAATAGACAATTTTACCACAGGCGAAGGTAGAAGATGTGACCCATCCCTGAAGAAGTTTTTAATAGGGGGCTGGGCATGATCAAATTTGTTACAAGTAAAAATTTCCTGATGACACGTAGGAGATGGTTTGCCGCAGGGCAAGACCACAGGGCAAGAAGACAAGTTAACAGGCTACTGCAAAAATTCAGGTGAGAAATGATGCGGGTCTGAATTCAGCAATGCCTCTGGGTGTGAAGCAAAGGAGGCTAATTAAAAATTATGTCTTTAGACCTCAGTTGCTAGAAGTTGTCGGAAGGCAGATGGGATTGGGAAACATGCCTGGAAGAAAGGCTCCTACCACTTTTTCAACTTCTTCCTCTTCCTCGTGCTCCTCGTTCTCCCCACGCCCGATTATTTTCCATTTTTCAAACATCAGGATATACCCCTGAGTGCACATACAAGGGAGTCGACGTTAGTGAAAATTCCAAATCCTATGATTGCACTCCAATCCAAACCATAGTCAAATACCACTAAAAATTATTTATAAAAATGTCTTTAGTCAGCAGCTCCTTAACTAGTCATTGGAAGGAATCTCACTAGAGAAAAATACTAATAAATAGAAAGCACCCAAAGGGGAACAAGCATAAGGAAGTCTTAGTCTAGGATTGGGAAAAGCAGAACAGAAAAAGATAAGGAGGAAAATATTTAAACGCATCACTTATAAAATTTTTTAACGGAAGGAAAATGGATGAAAAAGAGATTTGAGGCTTAAGAACTGAGTTAGGCACCAGGATACTGCAAAGGGCTTGATGCCCTAAATCATTGCTGGGATATAGGTCTTAATTAGGCAATTGAAATATTTTCAATAATCCACTATAGCAAAGCACACTAGCATTGTCAGTCCGAACATCAGAAATTGAAATGATACCTCTTGACCTTGATTTTATAAATATGTTTTTCCTAGATCAAAGTAAGGAGTGCCTTTGCAAAAGTTCGGAAATATACCGTTTCCCGATTTAGCATCTTTCCTTTGACCTCACATTCAGCTGTACAACTGTGGTACTCCTTTAGGTATCTATTAATATTCCTAGCACTTACTATATGATTGATTTGTGAATCCTAAATTAGCTATTCAAACGTTTAAGAAAAACTACAAGCCCAATGTATAACTCTTTAACAACATCAATTTAGGAAAGAGACAAATTATTTTGGCAGCCTGAGAGGTTCTAGCTTTGATTATAAGGAAAGGAAAATTTTTAAAAAATGCCTTTCTGTCTCATAGTGTTCTTAGTAGACAGAAAAATAGTTCATTCTTTGAAGATAAAATGTAGAGTCAGATTCAGAAGGAAAATATCTGCCAATAGAAACAGCAATGAGAATTAGTTAAATATCCTGGAAAAATAAGATTTAGCCCAACTCTGTTGATATTACTTAGTAAGATTGGACACCAGAATTGGCAAAAAAAATATTTCTTATTCAACTATTTTATGGAAATCTTATGAAAATAATTGGAAACAGAAACGTTTAATTGCTTCACCAGAGAGAATGTGCATTCCTTCTCTTCTACCCTCAACATTCTCTAAATCTATAGAAAAGTTTTGGAAGGAGAATACATTTTAAAAATCCTCAATATGTGAAACAGATATGAAAGTTAACTGTGAAGCAAGGTTTTATATAGCAAACTTTTTTCCGCTGACTTTCTTCTTAAAATGGAATCGATACATTCTACTCCTTCAAAACACAAATGACTTCCAAAAGGAAATAAAAATTGAACCCAAGAATGCCACGCATCTCCTCTATAGCATGAATTTCAAGTAAATTAAATTGGCTATGTTACGCATATTAACACAAAAATAAGAATGCCATGAGTGAAAGTTACCGAAATGTGAAGCCACTGGGCGAGGGTGTGGCATTTGCAAGCACCCCAGGCTTACCAATATGGTCCTAATTCCCACGGATAGGAGTCTGTCCCAATTCAGGTTTCCAGTTTATGGCTTGTTTTAAGGCTTGCTGCCACTTACTAACGTCTATAAGCTGAGTTTGCGTGAATTTATTGCTCCGTGATCATTAAATTGTTTAGGACTGGCTATTAGCACTAAGTGAATGTAGTATTATAGTAGCACTATGTAGTAATAACTATAGCAATGCTGCTTTAAAGGTGTGGTCTCAAAACTTTTGGTACCAGTCTTAGGGCCGAAACTCAGACTAACCATCAAGGAGCATCTTGTTCAACTACAAATAGACCAAAGTAATCGAAGGTGGATCAGAATTGCTTATTTATTTATTTATTTATTTATTTATTTATTTATTTATTTATTTATTTATTTGAGAGATGGAGAGAGAGCGCACAAGCAGAAGGAGAGGGAGAAGCAGGTTCTCCGCTGAGCAGGGAGCCCAATGTGGGGCTCGATCCCAGGACCTCAGGATCATGACCTGAGCCGAAGGCAGCAGCTTAACCGACTGAGCCACCCAGCCACCCCCAGAATTGTTTTTTAAAAGTCTCTCACCATAAGTAATTGAGAAGCACTGGTCTACACTGAATCAGGAAATAGAATCCTAGTCCATGTGTCTGCAGGTGGGGATGAGAAGATGCCAGATGAAGAGGGAAGAAATACTTTGATGATCTCAAAGTGTGTTTTTTTTAAAAAACTAAAGTTTCCAAAGGGCAATGGGAACTTCTAAAACCACAGTCCACCTTCTGTATTTAGAATGTGGGGTCTAGTCAGAGGAAAAACATGTAGCCTAATGGTCAGTCCGGCCGCTAATTTTCAAAATTGGTTACTAATGGTGAGTAGCACATAATACAAAGTCAATAAATCACCCAAAATCATAGCATCCACAGATAATCATGCTAATATTTTGAGGAAAGCTTTTCTAAATTGTTTCCTGTATCGTGCAGTTCACTTAATACATCATGATTATCTCGCAAAGTCAATAAATACAGTTTTCCATCAACACTGTTAATAACTACAGAATATTCCATTTTATGAATATTCTATAATTTGTTTAACCAGTCTGCAACTGTTGTGTATTTAGATTATTTATATATATCATATCTTTCCATCTTTTTACTTTTAATCTCTTTGTGTCTTTATAAAGTGTGTTTTTTGTAGGCATATATATTTGATCTTTTTAATTCAATCTACAATCTCTACCTTTTAATTGGAGTATTAGACTATTCATGTTTAATGTTATTATTGATATGGTTGGGTTTAAATTTACCATCTTGCCTTTGTTTTCTATTTATCCCTCTGTGTTTTGTTTCCTTTCTCTTATTTTTCTCCCTTTTATTGTATTGAATATTTTCACAATTCCATTCAATCTCCTTTGTTGGCTTATTACCTCTGTTTGTTGTGTTATTATAGTAGTTGCTTAAGGTTTATAGTTTATGGGCACCTGGGTGGCTCAATCAGTTAAGCGGCTGCCTTCGGCTCAGGTCATGATCCCAGGGTCCTGGGACCGAGTCCCACATTGGGCTCCCTGCTCAGTGGGGAGTCTGCTTCTTCCTCTATCCCTCCCCCCTTCAGTGTGCACTCTCTCTCTCTCACGCTCTCTCATGTTCTCTTTCTCAAATAAATAAAATCTTTAAAATATAAGGTTTATAGTTTTCATATTTTACTGCTCAAAGTGTACTTTCAAGTGATACTATGCCATTTCACATATAGTAAAAATTTCACATTTCTCTCCTGCTGGCCTTTGTGCCACTTTTGTCTATACATTTTGCTTCTATGTATGTCATAAACCCACATAGATAGTCATGATTTTTGCTTTGCACAATTATCTTTTAAAGAGACTTCAATGAGGGCGCCTGGGTGGCTCAGTTGGTTAAGCGACTGCCTTCGGCTCAGGTCATGATCCTGGAGTCCCTGGATCGAGTCCCGCATCGGGCTCCCTGCTCGGCGGGGAGTCTGCTTCTCCCTCTGGCCCTCCTCCCTCTCATGCTCTCTGTCTCTCATTCTCTCTCTCTCAAATAAATAAAATCTTTAAAAAAAAAAAAAGAGACTTCAATGATAAAAAAAAGTCTCATGTTTATCCACATATATATGTTTCAGTGTTCTTTTGTTACCTTTCTATTGTTCTTTGTTTAGATCAAGATTTCCAGCTGGCATCATTTTTCTTCTGCCTAAGAGACCTGCCTCAGCATCTCTTATAGAGTTTGTCTGATGGTGATCACCCCTTTCTGTTTTTGTGCATCTCAAAATGTCTTTGTTTGGTCTTGGTTTGTGAAGGATAATTTTCCTGGGTATACAATATGAGGTTGAAGGATTTTTTTTTTCTTTCAGTACATTAAATACAATACACTATCTTTTGGCATGAATTGCTTTTGGTAAGAAATCTTCCATCCTCCTCTTCCCTGTTTCTTTGTGTGTTATGTGTTTCTCTTCCTCTGACTGCTTTTTTTTTTTTAAAGATTATTTATTTATTTATTTGACAGAGAGAGAGAGCATAAGCAGGTATAGCAGGTAGAGGGAGAGGGAAAAGCAGGCTCCCTGCTGAGCAAGGAGCCCGATGCGGGGCTTGATCCCAGGACCCTGGGATCATGACCTGAGCCGAAGGCAGTTGCTTAAGCAACTGAGACACCCAGGCCTCCCCTTTGACTGCTTTTAAGATTTATCTCTATCACTGTTTTTCAACAATATGGTTATGTTGGACATTGTATTTTTCTTTATGTTACTGTGCTGGAGGATTGTTGAGCTTCTTGAATATACAGGCTTCCAGTTTTTATCAGAGTTTCAGCTATTACTTTTCAAATATGTTTCCTATGCTCCCTCGTTCCCTTTCACAGACTCCAGTTCTATGTAGATATAGCGCCGCTTCATCACGTCCCTGGGGCTCTCTTTTCATTTTCAGGAAATTATATTCTCTCTGTGTGTTTCCAGTAGTTTCCTTGGTGTGTTTTCAAGTTCACCAATTGTCTTAGCTGGGGCTGCCATAACAAAATGCCATAGACTGATTGGCTTAAATGACAAACATGTGTTTCTCACAAGTGGGAGGCCGAGAAGCTGATTTGATTCCTGCAGAGAGCCCTCCTCCTGGTGTGCGGAGGCCACCTTCTCACTGTGTCCTCACTTGGTGGAGAGGGAGTGATCCCTCTCTCATCCTCTTTTTATAAAGTCACAAATCCCATCATAGGGGCCCCACCCCATGACCTCACTCAACCCTAATTACCTTCCAAAGGGCCCATCTCCAAAAACCCTCACATCTGGGATTAGAGCTTCAATATACAAATTTGATGGTGGTGGTGGTTGTTGGTGGGGGGACACAATTCAGTCCATGGCACTAATCGTCATCTGGGGGGCAGTTTCTAATCTGCTATTAATCCCATCTAGTATGTTTTTAATCTCAGACATTATAGTTTTCATTAGAAATGAAAGAGAAGTTTGGTTTGTGTCTCTTTTTTTTGTACCTTATGTCTTTGTATCTTTATGTCTTCCAGGTGCAAATTTTCCTCTAGCTTCTTGAACTTATAAAATACAGTCATAACACCACCACCATCTGGTCATTTCTGGCTTGATGTACATTTTTTTAATCATTAGGGGTTGTATTTTCCTGCTTCTTAGTATGCCTTCATCAAATGCTTAACATTGCGATTTTTAACGTGTTGGGTTCTGGGTATTTTTGTATTCCTCTAAGTATTCCTGAGCTTTGTTCTGGAACACAGTTAAGGTACTTGAAGACAGTTTTAATCTTTCAGATGGTACTTTTAAGTTTTGTCAAGTAGGTCCAGAACAGTGTTTCGTCTGGCCCTACCTTTTCTCTACTACCAAGGGCAAGTGCTATCCCAGTAACGTTACTGAGACAAAGGCCTTCTGGGCACTCTGCCATAATTCCATGAATTATGAGCTCTTCTACCTTGGCTTGTTGGAACATGAACTATTCCTGACTGTATGAGAACAGGCCGGCATTTCTTCTGTATCTTGTCGGTGGTTTTTTTCCAGGTCTCAGGTAATTTATTCACACACGT